CCATTCAAATAGGCTACCCCACATTTCCTTTAAGAAATTGTTCAAAATAAAATACTATTTATACTACGGCTTCATTGAATACATGATGGTTATTATTTCATGAGAGATGTGCATCCATATTGCCCAGGGTGCCCAGCTAATCAACATTTTAAATTCAACATTTAATCAATAGTCAGTGTCAATCCATCCTGCATTAGTCCAGAGCTGTAACTAAACCTTGACTGAGAGACTAGATAGTAGTCTTATCTTAAAATTATGTGCTTAATTCAACACATTTGAGAAGTAGAAACAAGACAATGTTCACATATTATTTTGATAAATGACTAATGCGATTAATTGATTATCAAATTATCACTGATTAATTTTCTATTGATGTACTATTCGCTATCAATGACCTAGTGGTGTCAGAACTATTGTGAGTGCGTGCATGCATGTCATCATGCATTCTCCTCTCAACCACTCAGTGTTATTATTGCCTTCTCTGCCCAGCTATGCAGTCGCTGTTGGTATCGACAATAAATCACTGTTACACCAATGGTGTAATGAAAGCATCAGCCCCCCACCTCTCTACTCTCTCCTTTTATTATCCTTCACACTTTTTAAACTGTCCTTTCCCTCAATTCCCATTCCTCCCTTTGTCCTCACCACCTATCCTCTCTGTCCAGCCTCCACTCTTGTGTTTTGGCTATTAGCATTTGGCATGATGCCTCCATACTACCAAAGAGTGACAATACTCTAATCTTTTCAGTACATGCTGACATCAGGTGTCCTTGAAACAAGCACTTAACCCTGAAAATTCTGCAATGAAGCAGTTCAGTCACCAACAGTAGTCTGTTCAGCGGCCAAAGTCTGTTCAGTGTCCAAAGACTGCTGGTCCTGGGAAGCTAACGATTGTTAATATACAGTATAAAACTGACTATCAAGAAGGATGGTGGTGAAAAAGAGCAAATGTGGCAAACATATATGTACTTACACAGGTTTAGTCTCTTAAGATTCTAATTCATGTCATGCATTCCTAAATACTGTAGATGCACACTAGAAGACAAAACCAAAAGTCCATTTCAGGTTTTAGCAACTAATGGGATTGGAGTAGTTACTAAAATATGATGTGTATTTTCTGATCTTGTGCTAACGGCCTGTATGAGCTTCAGGAGCATTATCCAAGAAACTTTTCAATTAACTTAGTTCCAGTTTTGGTTAGTTGGTCATAGTTCCTGTCTCCCAAAAAGTCCCTACTCCAGAGGTTCTGATGTCCCAAGAACTACCAGGGTGAATTTTACAATACTGACTAACTTAACATGAACTTGACTGAAGGTACCACCACAGATACATTTCAGTTACAAATATCCTTCCATCAAAGATAGTTGGTGTTACCATGGATGTCCACTGGGGAGATGTAAGGACTCTACTAATAAGAACAGGAGCATTAAAATGAGATCATTATTTTACACTGTATTGTGGCACTGGAAACTGTAATTTGTGGTGAATATATTAAATTGCATGTGTGTCCATGTTTCATCTATAGATTTCTAACCTCCAACTGGCACCCAGGTCCAACAAGAAATTCACCTAAATATGGTTGAAAACACACTAACCCCTCACTTCTTCCTCACACATTCCTGCCATACATCCTGTGTACCTACCACTCTATGATGAATTCTTCAGAAATGGGAACAATTTCAGTGATGATGTTCTATTGTTTGTATTTTTTCTCTGAGCACATAAGTTCACTGACGATCCAATAATAGCCTAATGTAGATCAAGAATTTCTGACTGTCCATCTCTTTAGATTTAGAGGTTAGATTTAGAGACAGACAGAGAGAGTAAGAGAGGCAGGCATAATCAAAAGACATGGAGAGAGAGTAATGGAGTAAAATAGAAGGTTATATATAGAAAGAAAAACAGACTGCGATGTTATAGAAAGGAGATGTTACAGAGAAACAGAAAGAAGGACATGGAAAAAGAGGTAAAATAAAGAGAATTGGGGAAAAAGAAAGAAAAGGGAACAAAAGAGAGACAGGCATGCCGCATGTCACAAGAAAGATGAAGGGAGAGGAGAGAGAGAGAGAGAGAGAGAGAGACAGACAGACAGCTGCCAGTGTTAATCAGTCAGTGGCAGCAGCTCTGTGTCTCTGTTTCTCAAAGACTTAATGGGGACCAGACCCTCAGTCCACACACACACACACACACACACACACACACACACACACACACACACACACACACACACACACACACACACACACACACACACGTCCTGATCAATATCGTCAAAACATCTTGGGGACATTTATCATAACCTCTGCAATATAGTAAGAATGTAATCTGCCTATTGACAATTGAGAGGATCATGCTCAGCTTCTGGAATTTCTATCGATTGATCTAAAGACCAAGTATCAATTCAACTCTCTCTGGAGGGTCAGAAGAAAGTTAAAGAAACCTCATTATTCTCCATGACAATGTCAGTCATCTAATGCACTTTTCCTGATACAAAAAAAATGTTTTCATCACATTATGTACAAATGAATTAAAGTTAAACTTACTAAGAGATAATGCATGTTCAACTATAGTGCAGGATGCCTTGCATATGATTATATATTAGGCCCTGTATTTCTGTTTGCCAATATGAACTGTTTGTCAATTTGGCTATCAACCAATGTCACTAAACTCCCTTTCTGTATATAATGATTACATGGTATATACATTAATCTATTGACTGATGTTATAAACAAAAACAACAGGCAAAAGTTCAACAGCAAAAAATGGTATTGTAAGAGACATCCTAGATATGGAATAAAACTTTGGAGAACTTTCTGACTGTTTCAGAAGGTTATAGTGAAGACAATAGTACGTGTTAAAAGTGGATGTTACTACACTGTGTGTAGTGCTTGTAAAACACCATCTAGCATGATGGAGTATACTGTTCACAGTTTTGCTGTGTTTCTATGTTTCTGTTCTCACTGTTCATCTAACTCTCTTTTCTGCTTTGCTGTCTTTTTAGAGCTGAGGTGAAGTTTTTTTCTCCTGTGTAGTGTTTTTAATGGTCTGTCTATAACTAAGCTATGAAATATGTACAAATTCACATGTATTTAGTAGCTGGTAGTCACAAACAAAGATTAAAATGTACATTGAATGGCTTTGGGTTGAATCACAGTAAATGCCCTGCAAGGCTGCTATTAAAATGCCAACTGAGCAACACAATGAATTTGACACATTTGTGGAAAATATCTGACATTTGTGTAGTCTGACAGCCTGAGCTGCTTCATGAGAGCCTAAGCTAGCTAACCTTAAATGTAACCATTATTCTGACCTTAATGTAACCTTACTATTAGCGCAACACAACGCACACACACACAATCCTTCACTGTGACGTCACACAGTCCACACTTTACACACTGCACTGAGTCACTTCCACTCACTTCACCTCAGTAGAATGAAACAACATCTGTAAGCAAGCGCAGCAGTCAACGCCCAGTTTAGAGTTGGCAAGACCGCAAGTCAAAACAGTCACCTTGTGGTCCGATAAACAAGAGTACCAGCAGAGAGCTTCAGTATCCATGAGAGGCTGTCTATCATCCAGACAAGACAGGGACGACAAGAAGAAGAGTGTCAAAAAGAGCTCTATACTGTAATAAAGCTGGGCAGTATACATTGTGATATACACTAATAATGGTATACCACTGTATTTTCATAATACTACTGTACTTAGTATACGTATGTATGTACAGTATAGAGTATAATAATTAGCAATATAAAACTTACTATAATTACTGTACTCTGTTTTATATTATTGCATTGTATAAATATCAGTGATACTGGATAAGATGTAATACTATAAAGTGTAATAGATTTGAGCATCACAGACACACTACAATCCCCTGCAGGTGTGTTACAGAAATTGTTTAGGAACAGCATAGGACTTGAACTTCCATAAACTACAATAACGTATAAATCATTTATCATTTGTGTATTATAGGCCATTATGAACCCCCCTAGGAGTATTAGTGTGAGAAAATCATCTTCATTATGACTGCCTTTAAAAATAGCATACTTGTCTGTTTTCCCCTTTTCTTTCCTGTTCACCTCCATCAAACACATATACACACAAACACACATCTTGCACCAACTACCCAAAGCTCACCAACTAACCTGCACCTGCCTGCACACCTTCGTATGAGCTCTCAACAGCAGCTCTAGCACAGCAACCATATCCAATAGCCAGTAATCTCGATGCAAAACTGAGGTAGTAGTCACCTTTCACTGCAGCTGTGATCAAACAGACCACATTAAGACTTGACAAGCTACAGCGCATCTGCTCCTTGAGTTGCTAAAGTAAGCTGTGCTGTTGTTTGCCTTGTGTCACTAAAGCATACAAATAATCTGAATAAATTTACCCCCTAAAGAATAGCAAAATCCCCCTCAGGATTCAACAATAACTGATACCATAAGGGACAGAAATGGCAAAGTAATATGAGGTCACACAGTGAGACCACAGACATTCCATAACTTCCTGCAGGAATATATAGTATTAGTGTAGAGAATTACCGATGGAAAGTTCTTTTGCTAGTTGCATTGAGGCACATTTTGCCAGAGGACAACAGCAGCCTTCGTATCCATCAGTTATTTAAAGTTATAGGACATAGGGAAGCCTGAAGTGAGCCGGTATAAGATGCAACAACATGCCACAGCCCATTCACTAGGCCGCTATTCTGCATCTTAACCAATTTACCCTTTCAAATGATACAATCAGCTTTGGCAGGAATCATAAATACTTTCTCAGGCATACATCTCGCAACACATGTCGGTAAAAACAGACATGAAACAGCGCGTCCCCCCACCGGATCACTGCGGTACCCTGCACCCAAATGCAGGCCGGCGTCCCTGCAAAAAAGGAAAAAACACCGTGCACCTCGACTCCTTGCTCTCGCACAGGGAATGACAAAATGAAACGACATACCATGCAGTAAGGAATCATTCTGTCGTCATTCTGTCGGCCTTACCTTCAGCTTCAGAGTCAGTTTTTTGGATTGGTTTTGTCCTCCTCTTATACCAAGACGTCTTTGGGCTGAATCGATGATAGCGGTTTATCAATGGAGGAGACGGACGCTCCGTTTTTATTCCAGCAGGGTCTTCCCTCGATTAGTCCTTACTCTAAGAGGAAGTGGTTTGTCTGAGCAATTACAGAAGCAGTCCGGGGAGTCTGTACCGTGGAAATACACAGCCTCGGTGCATGAAAAGGGCGCTGCGTGCCTGCAGCGGTGACCGCCGGCTGGGAAATGCTGTCGGTGCTGAGGATGCGAGCCGGTGAAAGGAAGGTAGTGATGACATCCATAGAGATACCCGTTTCCACCTGACACAACCTCCCTTCCTCCTCCTCCTCCTCTCCGCTGGTGATGCTGGAGAGAAATATCAGCATCAGTGCGGCGAGCAGAGAGAGGGAGGGGGAAGGGAGGGGGAGGGAGAGAGACTGTCAGTGGTAAATTTTAGCGAGAAGCCGCAAGAGGCCGTGTTTTACAGCAGCAGATGTGGTTTAAAGACGAAAGAAGTCAAGTTCAAAGTTTTCAAACCGTATTGTTGTGTAAGGAAATACAAAGAAGAAATATACGATTTTCAAGTGTTTGTAATTACTTTAACCGTTACTTAAATTCAAGTCTATGGTAGTTTCATTGTATTTTCAAGGCTAGCTATCCAAATGTTAACCGGCCCTAAGAACGACGTACTGTTATGAGTTAAGTTACTGACTTAGGTTTAACATACCTTATTCATGGTGGTTAAAGTGGTGTAACTAGCTAACTAATTAGCTAGCTAACTAACTAACTGACTATTTAAGTGAATTACTAACCGACTTTCTGTGTCATCCCTTCCTTCCCCTTTTTAAAGCCTCTGCCATAGACGAAGTGGGAGGGGCTTTGGGGTTGCGTGACAGCCAATAGAGAGCTACAAGACTAAAACCCGGAAATGAGCATTTTTGCACTTCTGGTTCCCTGGTCCCAAAGTGGATGGGTCTTTGAAGAGATGGCTGAAATAAGGTCTTTGGTTAACAAGCTGAAGGCATTTTCATATTTATTGTAAAACATAAAATACATCAATAAAAACCCCAGTCATGATTTTAAGCTATTATGAATCAAAATGGTAGTGGAGAACCTGCAAAAAGAGCTAATGGATAAAGAAAAGAATTACTGTCATTGAAAAAGAAAGAAGACAATTGGTGAACTCTAGATCTGAAAACAGATTAAGGTACAAAGATCTGGAAATTAAATAAGAAACAGGCTCAGACTAAAAGAGATCTAGAGAAGGAGAGAGGACCTGACTGGGACAGTATCCAAATTACTACACTATCACAGAAAATACAAAGCAAAGAAGGGGAAATTACTTCTTTAAGATGGAAAAAGACAATTGTAATAGGAATACTCTATGAGGTGATAAAAGAGAGTTCTGGATATAGTGGAGTTTATTTACGACTTTGGATGATGAGCCAAAGAGAATGCTGTTGTGGTAGTTTATCCTGGATATGATGAAGGCATGGATCGAAGTTTTGGCAGCAGAGAAGGAGAGTGATGGGAGGAGACAAGCTATGTTTTTTAGGTGGAAAAAGGCAGTTCTGGTGATTTGATTGACATGGTGTTCAAAATGACTCCAAGGTTGCGAGTGTGTGGGGAGGGAGACAGAGTGACCTACAAAAATATATCATCCCTGCAGCCCTCTATAAGAACAACTACATGTCCATGGTGTCCGCAGCTGTCCATGTGCGCATCCACATAGGAGGACAATTGAGGCTTTATGCATACAACTTGAAAACAAGCAAATGGTATAATTAATTTCAACTGGCACATGTAGTCACAGGTGTGCTTGAGAGATGGTAATTTATGCAAACCAATGTAATGATGACTACCAGGGATCTAAGCAGGATTTCAGAATACTGAGTTAATGAGATGAAGTAACTTTTTAAGGAAATTCGGTCCTTAAAATAAAACTTTGCTGTTTTGCTAACATGGCGATCTGAATTGTTACTAAATTGGATATTTATTTAATCAAAGACAATTCAAAGACACATGCAATTTTCAACTGAGTGTTTTGAAATTGTGGTATTGCTGTTTTAGGAACAAGAGCCATCCCATGTCAGCGTAGTAACAGGCTGGCTGTAACAGGGATGAATGATCAGCAGGGCTCCTTTAACTCTCTGTGCGGGAGGAGGAGTTTGAGAAGCGGCGGCAGAGTGACCCTTCCTGTCACCTTAAAGCTCGTGTCTTCACATGTCAAGTTTTATTTTGAAGTGAAAGCACCCTCTGCTTCGGACACAGTTTAGCCGACAAGTTGTTGCTGTGTCGTGACCTCGCTTGTTACAAACAATGTCAGGGTCGATCAAAAACGTCGCGATATTTGGAGCCACGGGAATGACCGGACTGGCGACTCTGCCACTAGCGGTGTCTGCAGGTGAGGAATGAGAGTAGGGTAGAAAAGAATATATTAGAATAGATCAGTTAATGTATCGGTGCCTTCTGCTGGTTAAACTGTGTACTATGGACACACAGTAACATCGGTGTCATTATATTGTGTTCAGTTGCAGTTTGCAGCTCAGAGAATAAGTGGTGTCTGTTCTGGTCAAAGTTTTTACCCTCCAGTTTGTTAACTGTCCTGATACATATGATGTCTGTCTGTGCACCTACAGGAGTCAAAAAAGAGCATAAACTCAGTCTAATGATCAATCAAGAAGTTGATCAGCTGAGTTTGCTTTAGTGGTTAATAATAACCTTATATCAGATGATCGATGATACTATTGATAATTACATAACTTCAGGCTTCACTGTGTCAAGTTGTGGACTTATGCTCTTCTGCTATTGCTTTACAGCTGAGTTATAAATCAATATCATTCAAATAAAGTTACGTAATTGTGCTTATTGTAAAATTGTGGTACAGCAGCCTATAGCTTAACTTTTCATTTTTCAGATTCAGAGTTTAGTCCACATTACTATTTTTTTTCTTCCCCTGTGTTCATGTCTTTAGAAAGCACCAGCAGTCATCTTTAAAACAGTATATCACCATATAACCATATCAAGATCTAAGGTCAAAACTATGGTGGTATTTGATTTTGTCAATAGGGGTCAGTCCTACTTTAATTGCTTTTGAAGATTGTAACAAATTTAATATGCTGTAATTTAAAGAATACATTTTAGAGGTGGAATGGTTTCTTAAATGTAGTACTGACTGATGTGTTCTTTATTTATAAATTAACACTGGATTATGGCTTAAACTGCAAGTCCCAGACTTAATTTGCTCTATTTTTGGCTGCAATTCCTTAAAGATATTCAAAAACATAAACTATAGACAGACCCACACACTCACACAAATCACATACACAAACACATACACAATCACATATATCATGTCATATGATTGATTTAGCACCATTTTCATTTCCTCTCTTCCTGCTCACCATGGGGTGAAAAAAATGTTGAGTCATGTTAGACGTTACAGAGGAGCATTGTGCTGAGTCACAGCAGATTGTGACACAGCTGATAGTTAAACATGTTCACTATCTTGCCTGTACAGGAGGGGCGGGATCCCCCTCATGTAAGTGGTGAAGTTATTAAAGACAGAATACAGAGCAGTCAGAGGTTGAAACCATGTCATGTCATTGAATTTCACAGTCAGTCTCGCCATGTTTACTGCACTGTAACCAGTCAGGTGAAAGTGACAGTTCAGTATGAGGGTTTCTGGGCCATCCGCCGAAACAGTTGAAGTAATCCCTGCTCTCATAGTTGCTGGATAAAAGTAATTCTGAATCTGACTGTACTACTGTCACATGTAACTTTCCTGCAGAGTTCATACAGTCATCATCAAGATAGGAGTCTTAAGTTAAACTTTTTCATAGTACTGAATTGGAGCAACGTGGAAAGGGACATAAAACCAAAAATTTGCGATGTGAAAGCATTTGCTAATCTTAAGTGATAAATTGAAAATTAAGGCTCTATCCAAATAGTCTAAAACTTTCTGTCCACTTTCTCTTCTGCATTATCTTAATGGAAAACATTCGATATTGTGTAAGATATGAAGAAGTCCTGTAGAGTTATGAAATATAACAACTGTGGTAGCAGTACATTTATATAAGACTTTGCAAAGATACAATATCATATCTGTAAATATGATGGTAATGATGCTGTGAGTACGTGTTGCTACTGTTTCATTTCCATGTGTCCTCCTCCTCCAGGATACAATGTGACAGTGCTGGTGCGGGACCCTGCCAAGCTGCCTTCTGACCACAAGGCGTCCAGAGTGGTGGTGGGAGATGTATTGAATAAAGAGGATGTGAAAATGACCATGGAGGGCCAGGATGCTGTTATCATCATCCTTGGCACCAGGAATGACCTCAGTAAGACTCCACAGTTCGAAGAAAGACACACAACCCAGCAAATATTATAAGAGAAGAAAACATAGTTCAAGTTTCGTCTAGGCTGATAAAACTCTAATGGCATTGCAATAATAAAACTTAAAATTTAGTTTGCAGTTTCTAAATCTTTTATTGCTAAATTTCATTTGCATTCTTGGATGATTCGATTTTCACACATGCTTTGGATTTATCTATGTGGTTTTGAATTTTACTGGCCTAAAGTTGCAGCTTTTTTCTTACTGTTGTTGCTTTAGGCTCTTCTTGCATGTTTACACTGACTAGTGAATGTATGATTGTTAAAGTTCACCTTTCCTTACGTAACTGTTCCCCTTACACAAGGATTGTAGTTTTTAATGGTGTAATAATGCAATATATTCACCAGAGGGCACCACAAGACTTACACAACGTTCAACCCTGTGTGACATCATTGTATAAGTATAAGACACAATCTTAAACACTGTAAATAAAACAGAGCATGGCATATACAGTGTCACACTACACTAAAGAGAATGTGCATGTAGTTTTCCAGGCCAACATTTCCATGATTCAATAAATGACAAATGGATTAACTGTAGATAAATAAACGTACACACAAAGTAACATGGAGATAACATAGATACAAGATAGAGTTCCGAAAAAGTTAAAAATATCAGGACTTTATTAATCAACAATATCAACGCTGTAGTAGAAAAATCATTGATTTACAGTAAAAGTCCTGCACTCAAACTTTCTGTTCAATAACAGAACACTTCCTTTCACTTGTAAATGATTTATACAGTAACTTGGAAGACATCTTTTAATGTTGGTCTTCTAAATAATCCATTTACTAACACATATTTATTTTACTGTTTTCATGTATATGCTCTACTCTGTAATTGAGTAGCTCTCTCAAATACAGTGGTGCAAATGTATAGTACCACCCAGTGGAAATATACTGTACTTGAGTAAAGTGTCAGTGCCTCAAAACTAGACCTAAGTACAGTTTTGGAATATTTAGGTACTTTTCACCTCAGTACAGTCCCTAATGTTTTTTTCTGATGTTCGCTCAGGTCCCACCACCATGATGTCTGAAGGAACCAAGAATATCCTGGAGGCCATGAAGGCTCGTGGAATCCGCAAGGTGGTCGGCTGCATGTCAGGTACGACTCACTGTTATAAAAATACTAATGAAGTAGATCAAGTAGTCAAAGTAAAGAGAAATGAATTGGATCTCCTGCATATGCATTTTCCTGTCACTTGCTGAATTGCCCTTTGTTTCGGAGAGTGAAAATGAAAGCCAATCAAAAGTAGAAGACAAAGGAAGTGAATAAATATGTGACAAACATCTGCGCAATGGAGACAACTTGAAGCAAACTCCTCCACTTCTCTCTTTTTCTTTTTTCTTCTGTTTCATCTCCACCCCCTTTTCATTCCTTTATCTCATCACTGTCCTCTTCTTCCCTTTCTTTCACTCTGTCCACTGCCTTAATTCATCCTTCTTTCCTTCTCTTCTCTCCTTCATTTTTTTCCTCTTCACTCTTTTCTTCATCTTTCCTCCCTTCCAGCCTTCCTGCTGTGGGATCGCTCCAAAGTCCCGCCCCGTCTGGTCCCTGTGACAGAGGACCATGACAGGATGCACACAGTGCTGAAAATGTCGGGGCTGGATTACGTGGCCATCATGCCTCCTCACATCGCAGGTCTGTAGGAAGTAGAAACTAAGATCTTTATTCCAAACCAAAGTGGGAGAAAACTTTCAAAATGTATTGCTGACATAAAAGTGCTGCAGTTAGCCAATCTGCTAATCTAATGGATACCAAGTTCTAAGCACCTTTTTATGATCTATGTAGACAGAGTTTTGTCATTACAACCTTATGAAAGTTTTAATAATAATAAAAATCATTGGACACTTTGACACTGGACTTTACACACAACGTGAATCTGCTCCAAAGAAAAGTTAAGAAAAAACACAAAAGGGCAAAATCAGAGGCAAAGGCAAAAACTTTTACATAGTTGAAAAAACAAAAACAGGAAAGAAATTTACTTTCACTCATGAATAATTGTAGACTTTCTTTAGTTTAGTAAGTGTGTGACATGGTTCAAGACAATAAAAAAGAATTTTCTGTTGTTTAACTTTGAAATATGTCTCTCTATCACACCTTTGACTGGTTGTTTTTTCTATTAACTGCCATTATAGAGGGCAGTGATATGTTATCTTATATTAAATTTTTTGTTTGTCTCTCCAGGTGACCTCCCTCTGACAGAGCGTTACATGGCAACAGAAAACATGCTGAAAGGAAGAGCCATCTCTAAACATGACCTGGGACATTTCTTCGTTAAGTGTCTGTCTACCTCAGAGTGGGATGGCAAGACTGTTGGAGTGTGGGGAGAGTACAAATAATCCTGAATGAAACACTGCTGACGCCCTCCTCATTTGTTCCTGTCACTGATTGCCATTCTTTATTTTCACCAAAACACTCAAAATACAAAAAATATTTGTGTGTGCTGAGAGGTAAATGAAGGAAATATATTAATATTATATTATTACTAATTCTTTGCTGTTTTCGCTTTTATGATCATGATTGTGCAGCTTTTGCTTTGTGTTGTTATACTTTTATATTAATTTTAAATTTATTATCAGTGGCACATAGGGGAGATATTTTAAAACAAGTGCACAACTGCACAGCTGCTTTTGCTATAGCTGTATACATTTCATAACATCATGTCTGTCTTTTCACGTGAACAGTCTTTACATACTGAATGTATTGTTTCCCATCATTGAACATTAAATCAGGTGATGCCTACTGTTGCTGTTTTGATCTACAGTAGGTCTCTTTTTACGGCTGTTGAAAATAAAAGACTTTTGTACAAAAAAGTGAGGTGTCATGTGAATGAGCATATACCTGCAGGCTATTTGTTGCAGGGGTGACACAACAACTATGAATTAATAATACTATTCTATACAGTAATCTACCTAACTCTTTAGTTTAACCAAAAACAGAAAATGACTGATGAGGCAGATCAGGGGTGAAAAGTAACTCTTTTTACAGACAACTAACAGTTACCCAGATAGATTTTGATCACTGTGAAAGGGCCAGAGTGACATCCTTGCAGGAAGTACGTCAGTTTAAAGCACCCTCCAAAGTTTTGCAACTGAGTGATGCAATATAAAATGGTCACCATGTTTTCTTTATCCCATTTTATTTTCAGATTGAGGGATAACAGCAAATCTAAATCAAATCAAAACTGAGCACAGTAATCTGTTATGTTCAAGATAAAATGATAGAATGGGTTTCCACAGAAAATGAATGAGGATGAGTTATTTCTGTCCCTACACGTGGTAGCAATGTAATTTAATGTGAGTTTTTGCTCCCATTTGATGTTTTCGTTGGGTTTTGATATAAAACTACGTACTGAGCCACTTTTCTGATCTGCTGTGTCTCATGTCCCTGAGAGTCAGATGAGTGGCATGTGTATCTGTTGTGCAACTCCCTCTGACAAAAATGTGTCAAGTGAACCAAGGAGCGCCATCTTAATACCAGAATGCCTTCAAAATAAAAGCTTAATTTATAGAGGCCTTTAACCTTTATGCTTGTGTTATCATATTAATGTTAGTGCCCAGTACATCACTGAAACACACCAATTCTGGTCATTGTTCCAGTCATGTCTTACTATAGTCCTATACTGATTCGGGGAGATGTGTTGCAACTATAAAAAATAAAGCATATTATATTATATTATATTATATTATATTAAAGTTGTTGCTGTTGTTCGCCTTTCTGGGTGTTTATTTTGAAAGAGACTACCAGTAGTTGCTTTACTCTCTGATCACTGGATGTTTTTCTCTGCTGTCCAATGCTCAAGCTGAGGAGGAGGAGCCAATGGTGTTTTTTCAAAGTTGAATCGCTGGTTCTTCGTATGGCGAGAAGTCTAGTGGAGGAATTTAAATCGAAACAGAAAAGATTTGACATGTAGGTGGGTTACGACAGAAGAGATTGAGTCCACTGACCGTTTTCCTCTCTGGCGACTGCAGCTCTCAGGTAAATGAAAGACTCTATTTGAAATAAGATTGATTTGAACGACTGCACACTTTATTAGAGATACAATTTACTTCTCTTGTGGACGTGTACATTTTTAGGATGCATACGTTTCTGATATGTCGATATCGCGTTGTAATATGTACATTTCCAAATCTCTTGGACTGTTTTGGTTTGCTGATCAGTCCGGGAGCCTGATCTCTCACAAGTCTTTTGTAACAATAACTTAAATTTAAACGTTAAACGATAAGACATGCTGACTGGAATCCCCATTTGATAACGTTTGTGTTAGTGTTTAACACACCATTGTCGTAATTAGTAAACTAATTAGTCGTTCAAAGCCAATATGAGAATGGGGATCGTTGATGTAATCATTTAGGAATTAGTGCTATGTAAATTACATAATAATAAGCTTGACAATCCGGTTTGGGGGGGCAATTAATCAGGAGAGGAGTGAATTAACAGGTCTACATATAATATTAATTGTAATTGTATCATCATGTTTGTAATACTGTTTACAAACATGTATTTCATGCGGATTTGTAGTGTGAAATTACTCTTGGAATGTAACGTAATAAAACTCCATTACCCATAATGCACATAGTTACATCCAGCCCCCAACTGCAAACCTTTTGGCGTGAAACTCAAATCACGGGCGGGAGAAGAGCGAGTCAGTCGGTTAGCGAAACTCAGCTGTAACATTTAAAGTTTTAAACCGAAAAAATTGTTTTAAATTACTTTTTAATCACCGACTAATTTCTAAATGAGTTGAGCAATTCGTGTCAAATTAAATTAGTTTTTTGGGTCGAGGAGGAAGCCGGATAACGAAACTTTATCCAACAACGACTGTCTCGAGAGACGGGAAGTGATTCAACAGGTTTGTTTAAAGATACCTTACTTTTAAACTGTTTAAAGTTAACCCGCTGGTGGTTTAACTACGCTATTCGTGTTCGTGTCGGTTATCATGATGATTCAAGTTAGTCTTAGTTAATTTACGTTGCTACTAAATGGCCTCGTTTGAGAAGGTTTCTGTTTCCCTCCTACACGATGAAGCTAACGTTACAACCCCCAACCCACATTTAGTCACTGGATGACTCAGTTCATAGAAAACTGATGAAAAATAAAATTATCAAATTTATGTAACGCAGTTAATTTAATATTCGTCTTATCAGTAGTAGAGTTAATCTATAATGCACTAGTTTTGCCATATCTTTGAAAATAGTAATTAACAAACACTGAAGATGATGACTTATGTCCTATTGAACTCTGCTCAGTCTTATTTATTTAAAACATTTGTTGTAAATATATTATTTCAAAGTACTTTTTACTGCCTATGATGTATTAGTCTATGGCTGCAATTTTCAATAATTTTAATTGATGATTAGTAGCTACATTAGATCATGACAGATGTTTATCGTAGGCTGTCAGAGCCCAAAGTGATGACTTAGGTTTGGAACAACAGCAAAAAAAAACCAAAAACTTAAAACTGATCAAAAAGCAAAAAAATCCTCCCAGTCCTTGAGAAGCTTTATTGTTTATTTGTGCTGGAGAAGTTACTATTGAGCGACTACTTGTTTTAACACTTAAACATTTTATTCATATGTTATGTATGTTACATCAGTGTTTTGATATTATCCCATGCTTTTTTTGTTAGTATAAGAGCATTTGAATTTGAAAAATCTCACATTCCTTTACTGAGGGCAAAACTGAGAAACTGATACATCTATAAAACGTTTACACTGTTATAACTGGTACTGTTATTTATTTTATGGCTGTAATTCAGGTCAGTTTAACAGTTTATGCCTTCCTTTGCAGTTTAAAGATGATCATGAAGGGGCAGAAGCGTAAATTCCCACCAGAGGATGTGGAGGTTTCTGACAGGACCAGCCCAACCTGGGAGAGCCAACGACAGTTTGTGTTCTCAGTTTCCCTGAGCAAGTATCAACGTGGCCAGGAGCTTCCTGAACCCAGTCTGCGGAGGTCCGTTCTGATAGCCAACACACTGCGGCAGATCAGCCTAGAGGCTTGCATGGCACCCTCTGTAGACAGGGAAGTGTCACCTTGCAGCTCTTCACCTGCAATCCAGGCGAAAGAGTGGGAGAGTATTTTCACCGGAGTTCCTGCAGCAAAACATCACTCTGCAGTTGCAGTTACTAACAGCCACTCAGCACTTACCAGCTGCCCTCTGGTTTCCTCAAATTACATGTCAAATTGTGTTACAAGTAGGTATCTTGCAAGCTGCCACATGAATACATCAAATGTTCCTATGTCTGTAGGAGACGAAGATGAGGACTGGGGATCAATGTCCACTGATCCTGATTTCTCCCTCTCAGCTGCCATTTCCTCCATTCTCACTGCACTGGACTCTACCATTGACGGGAGCCCTCAGGTAGCTCCAAGGACACCTCTCCGGTCCCTGGAGAACCTGTCGAGGCCTGAGGGAAGTGTGGCGTGGGTAAAACAGGAAGTCAGAGGTTATGGGGGCAGCTGGGAGCAGCAGGAGGAGTGCAGGGTACGAGAGAGCAACATGGAGGTGATGAGGTCCAGCTACCTCAGTGATCTCACTGTGGAGGATCTTTTCCAGGACATAGACACGTCCCTGCTGGAGAGGGACATGGGAGTGCTTGGGCTTAGAGGCAGTGGAGGTGGATACCCAGCAGGGGATGATCTCCTCCGCTACCTGCCGCCTTTCTCTCCCTCCTCTTCCTCCTCACACCCCTTCTCTCTCTCTCTCAACCAGAATCTGAAGTGCCTCCCTTCATTCTCCTCATTCAGCCCATTGTCTTCCTCATCATCTTCTTCACCTTCTATCTCTTCGCCACCATCCTCTCCCTTCTCTGGTCATAATCATGTGAGAGAGGGACTTGAGTTGGAGCATCTTATGGAGATCCTGGTGGAGTCCTGATGGCCTCATCTTAATCATACTTTGAGAAATCCACTTCAATAGGAACACCATTCACTAACTTAGTGGACAAAAACTGAATTATTAAGGCAAAAGGCTGGACTGTCAAACATGTCGAATATTCTCCTTGTTGTCTTTATATATTGCTCAAGAAATTGTGTATTATGGGCTTTAGAAAGTAGTAAGAATGTTCTAGAAATGTAGAAATGGTTCATGTCTAAGACAGAAAATGCTCCACAAGTAGGCTAGCAAGCTGTGATGCATCTGGCAGCTCTTATGGTAACATGAAACACAAAAAAGGAACACGAAGAATTTGTTTCTGGCAAAAATGGAGGCCAGATAAGGCTCAGTAGATAAGCAGTGAGTCAGTGCATAATGAACTGCTGAAAAGCATATTACAGTTTTCAGTGTGACTCAGCTAATTGGAACTAAAGAAGGGTGGTGCCTGACTGCAGAACAGGGTTTATTCAGAAAATGAGAAGTTGCCAAGTGTGGAGAGACAACTGTTTCAGCCTTAAAATTTGTCAAATGCATCACAGCTTCAAGTGATCCTGCGTTCACATTGAACATCCCGAGTTATCGAGAGTAAGAAAAAAGCAGAAACCAGTAACGTACTAGTGTTGATTCATGCAGTGGATTGATCGTTGGGCGATGTGGGACAAATCCCTTATAATACAAGTGTAAAATGTTAATGAGTGAGTTCTGAGAGAATGTGATTTGGCTGGTGTTGGAAGTTGGAGAGGTTGAAACACTAATATTGTAAGTCAGATCTTCTGTGAAGAAATCCTTTAACCTCATATTTATCAGTTATAACGGGCATGATATAAGAGATCAGGTCAGGATTTTAAAACAGGAGGAGCACTGTGGAAAATGTGCTTTTTAGCCATTGAAAACTTTTACATATTTATGATATCAAGTGGTTCAGCCAGAAGAAATCCATAAGAACCAGTATTTTGTTCAGTTATGAAAAAAATGAAGTTTCTAGTGTGCATAATTCTTGAGGATTATCTTTAACTCTGTGATTCTTATTTGTATCCCTCAGTTTATCACCAGGTATATTTCAATAACCAGTAGTTGGAGGTACAGTAAGATTACATTTCATTTATGTGTTCCTGTATTAGCAGTAAAGAAAGTTACTTGTGGAATATTACTCAGTGGAAAAAGCACAACTCTTAAATTCTGCTCAACTAGCTGACTGCCTAGTCATGTTCCCTCTGAAGGCTGACAAGAGTGAAACTAGTTTGTTTCCTCTGAGATGTTTCCTCTCAGTCGGCCTGAGTGCAGCTGTGTGGCTCAGGAAACACAGCAACACGTGGTTGTTCAGTAATGGCTCCGTGCACAGTCCAGCTCAGAAAGAGCATTTAATGACTTTTAATAGATGCCTTTATTAAAAGAGCATTTATAGTACTGTGAATGTGTACAAAACATCCTCATCGTGTCACATTATTTAAAGTCACAACCACTACACAACACTTTCTGTTGTACAGATGTAGTATTATTGATTGGTCCCACTGGACGTTCATCATAGTGCTACAGTCTCAGCCACATTGGCTGATGGAGTGTGGATGGTGCTGACTTCTACCCTGTGAACAGTTGCTAACTCGTCAGTAGGTCAGTTTCTTTTTGTTTTAGTGGAGTTCACACGTTTTGTCTGGTTTACATCTGAATTATTGCACTTTTGTTAATAATATGCATTTTAAGTCTCCGTCATGTGAGCATGTGGTTACTCTGTATTTATTAAACAGTAACATTACAGGTAAGATCTGGCCAAATTATTCCCTGTAAACACATAAAGTGGGATCCTATTAGTTCTGTTAATGAATATTGTTTAAAAGGAAAAGGAAAGGTATTTTAACTGTAACTTAGCCAGTTCTTGATGTTGATCTATCATTTAAACCAACACTGCTAAAATGCACGACATGAGAATTGCTGAAATAAATTGTTTGAGGAAGCACATGATATCTGTTTGTTGGATTTTTGTACATTATGTCCTGTTCACGGATCAAAGTTGCTCTCTATGCAAAGGTCCTCTCTGAACAGCGGATGCAGTCTCAAACTATTTATAAATGGCATATTTTGTTAACAAGATGAGTAATTTAATGTTATTCCATATTTGACAATTCACTAATGGTATATTAATATACTGTCATGGCAGTTATTTTATTTACTTTTATTTTCTCTACAAATATTTTAATGGTTATGTTTTGAAATCGAGGGCAGAATGCTCAGATACTATGTATTTAGACTTTTTCTAAAGAAATATTTGTTTACCTGTACTGAAGTTTTTAATAAAATGTAAAATGAAAATATGTGCTTTATTTTCATTGATTAAAATGGTTGAATTTTCAGCAGGAAATCATCACACGTCTGTTAGAGAAATTTATGATAGTACATTACTGCAGGTTTGACAAGTGCGGAAATGAATAAAAACTCTATTTTGGAAATTTCTCATGACCTGCACATTTCTGCGGGTTTGCACCCTTTATCTGATATTTGAATTTGTTACCTAGAAGAAAAGCTTTAGAGAATCTTAACATGCATGAATGATTTTTAGGTTTTCTGACTCAAAGTCTCCAACCAGAGAGGTTTCAGTTTCCGGTTTGTTTGTCCACCTTCAGGCTGACATAAGTGGAGTTGAGCACATCAAGACCATACAGGATCTTAATAACTTACTTACACTGATCTCAACAAAACAGACAACTTGTGTTTAAATTCTTGTGCAAGCCCTATGCTGGAAGAATAGTCTTTACATGTTTAAGTTTGTCTTAAACAAGACATGCTCTTATGTACATTAAAATAGCATGGAAATTACTTTATGACTCACTTCTGGTTGAGTATGGACAGACAAAACAATCACCATCCAATAACTTTTCTTTTATATATATATATATAGGTATGTGATAATTGTTTAAGACATAATTGTAAAGATAAGAACCTATCCTATATTAGAAGGATTAGACGAATACTGTACTGTACCTTTATGACAGATGCCATTGTGTGGATCCAGCACACTCACTTCACATTATAAGAAATAGCCATCATTTTGTTTCATTCTTTTATCAATCTGAAAGTCATATGATTCCACCTAAAAACACAAATTCTCCTAGTGTTTGTGTCCCCTCTCAGGTCACCTACCCATGAATACAATAATGAGCAGTTATTAAGTTATTTGCTGGGTATTATGTATTGATGGCTTCAACCTATAAAGGACTTTAAAACTCACATCTGTCTTGTACAATGCTTGAGAACGTCAAAACTACATAGGGCATGTAGTGCAGGTTTCTGGATGGGTTCACAGTGCAAAGAGCTTCAGAGCAGCAAGGATGACAAAGATGAGGACAAAACACAAATTGTTTTGAAATGTATGATTGTCCAGTATGAATACATGATATTACTAAACTATAGTCACAAGAAAAAGCATGTGAATCCTTTGTTATTAAATCAACCTGACATGTCAGGTAGGTGGCAGGTGATTGCATGAGCCATCTGTCCAGCTTAGAGTCTGGCAAGATGGTTTCCTGCATTAAAGGGTCATAAAGTCACAAAGTGTAAACACAATGTGCTTAAGCTAATAACGCACAATTCTAATCTTTTGTGTATTTATTGAAAACAGCAATTAAACATTCACAGTGCATTCATATTTGATAACTGGTTGAACCTCCTTTGACAGAAACAACCTGAAACCAGCTCTCCCAGTAGCTGCTAATCAGACCTGATATTCTTAGGATGTCTGATGTGAACATTTCTCTTCAGTTCATTACACAGCATCTGTACTGGGTTAAGGTCTGGGCTCTGACTGAACCACTCCTCAATGTGTATTTTCTTTGTCTGAAGTCCTTCTGTATTAGATTTACTTTGATGGTCATTGTTCTGTAGCATCACCAGCTTCTCCTGAGCGTCAGCAGGTGGACAGACACCCTGACATTACCCTGCAAGAGACCTTGATAAACTTGGGAATTCATTTTCCCCACAATGATATTGAGCTGTCCAGGCCCAGAGGAAACAAAGCCCCAAATCAAATGCTCCCTTCACTCTACTTCACCTTTGGGAAGATGTTTTCATGATAGTATACAGTGACATTTTTATACACAGTGCTGCTTGTTCTTCCCAAACAATTCAACCTTATAGTTTCATCATTCCACAAAACATCTTCCCAGTATAAAGCCGCTCTTTGACAAACTTCAGGGATGTATGTGATGTCCTGTCATGGACACCATGCTCCGTGATGTATGTGTGGTAGACTGATGAACAGAGATGTTAACCAGCTCCAGTGATTCCTTTGAGCCTTATGCTGTAACTCTGAGCTTCTTTGTTACTGAGTGTCTGCGTTGTGTGCGGGAATCAACTTAGCTGAACAATCACTCCTCGGAAGACTAGCCACAGAACTAAATCATCTCCATTCATAGAGTGTGTCTGACTGTGGACTGATGAAGATCTAAACTCTTTGAGATGACTCTGTAGCACTTTCAGCTTCATGCAAATCAAGAATTATTGAATCTAATTCCACTGAGATGTTTCTTGCAAGACATGGTTCACATCAGATGTCTCTTGTGAATAAGAAGAAACTCAGTCAAAGAGTCTCTAACCCAAACCTCCAGTCTTGTTTCATAGACTGGAGTCCAGGTTTGAAAACTCCTGCCTCCAATTAGCTTTTGTTGATGCCATTAGCCGAGGGGTTCACATACTTTTTTCAGCCTACACTGTGAGTGTTTGAATATTTTCAATATGGACAAGAACAATACAATGATTTGTGTGTCATTAGTTAAAATAGATTGTTCATTCATTAGCTATACCGCTTATCCTCATAAGGTCACGGGGTGGGAAAAAAAACATTCACACTCACATTCACACCAGGCAATTATAAGTCACCAGTTAACATAAAATAGATGATGCTCGTTCATAATTGTGCCTTAGATGAAGATCTGATCATATTTTAAGACACATTTATACATAAACTCAGATCATTGAGGGTTCACTGACTGTTTCTTGTCACTGTACAACATACGCACCAACATGGACAGAGACAACTTATGTTACAGTATCAGGATATAATTAGCCTGTTCATTTGACTACAACTTTGATGGTAACAGAAAAATACGTGATGGGAACATTAAAGTGCATTTCAATAAATCCAGACACAATAAATCACACAGAGCATACCGTGTTTGACAAGTAACAGTTTTCCACTGAAATTAATCACGCCCTCAATCACCACAATGAAACACATATTTATTTTTTTATCTTCAGTCCCTCTATTCCAACCCTTTAAGCCCATTTAACACTCATCTGGAGGTGTGGTAACTTGTTGCACTACATACATGCAGACACCAGGGGGCGGCAGCACAAAGGAGGACAGCCTGTGCCCTGAAGCAAACACAGTTCTCTGTAGTTTCTGTAGCTCTTGAAGGCCCACCCAGACACACAAGGTACTACTTTCACACAGGAAATCTAATTAAATAAGAAACATGTTCCAGTAAACGTCCCCACTGTTGCTCAGTGTAGGTCCATGTTAGCCCTTCATTTCAGGAAGTTGTAACAGGTTCATTTGTCATTTCACTGCAGTTGTGATCATTCGTGCTTGTGAAGATGCATTCAAGGCCTCTCCAGTGATTAAGTCCCAGGATTTTAAACATGACTGGACGTCTGGTAAATAGTCTGGAGTTGTATGTGCATATGATGTGCATATTTTGAAATATAAAGAGGAGCTGAACAATGAACCCAAATAAAAACAAATGCAGTTAAACGCGTACAAGATTTTCATGAAGTTGAAATGTTGAAATCCACAGATTGTGTTTAGCACCAAGTTTAGTTTCAGCACAATTATACGAAGACAAGATTTGTTAGTCTTGATACAGCAACCCAAACCTAGGGCACAAAAAAACAAAACCCCCAAAAAACAAAAAAACAGTGTCGAGAACACATGCAAGACAAAAGTGATCTGAAAACAACCAACCATGTACCACAAGTTTTGGTTCGAGCCCTTTGTGTGTGTGTGAACACGCAAGCCATAGTTACACCAGTGTTTAGGAGGAAAAGGATCATATGTGGCTTTTGGCCCAGGGGGGTTGCTGTAGTCAAGTTAGGATAGTCCTTTCATATGTGCAGAAAGTGATGTAATAACTGCTCAAAAACTGTTCGGCGGTCCACTCACAAAGGCTGAATCTCAAAACTCTCATCTCAATTCCTCATTATTATTATCATTATTATTATTATCATTATTATTATTAAGCTCTCTGTTAAGCTCTATGTTTTATTTTTACTACAGAAGACAAAATGAAAAAATTGAGACAGGATTTCAGATTCAGCCCACCAGTCTGGGTGTTTTATCACTGGTTCAACACCGAGGGAATCGCCAGAGGTAGGTAGAGCTTCTGTGTCTTTTCTCTGCCTCCCCACGGCTCAGCCTTTGTTGATGGTGTTGTACGACGGCTGTGATCCCGGCTCCAGGGGCTTACTGGCAGCTTTTTCTGTCAGGTAAGGGGGCGTCTGGTCTTCGTGGTTGGTCTCTACGATGGGCTCCCTGTCCTCGTCCTGATCGGTCTCCTCGCAGCGCGGCAGCTGCAGGAAGGTGGTCAGGCCGTGCAGGTCGGCCATTTTGTGGAAGGTGCGCAGCAGGAGGTACATCATCATCAGACCCACAAACAGGTAGACTGGAGGGAGAGAGAGAGAGAGAGAAAGAGAGAGGTCATGGGAGGTCATTTATTCAAGAAAGTAATGACCTGAAACTGATTTTTCACTATTTCTCAAATATTGGATGAATCAGAAGGTTTAGATAAAAACACAAGGAATGATTCTCCTTAAATGGAGTAAAACTGCACCTCTATCCCATAACTGTGACTGGAGGCTGTAATGGCGCACCTCAGCTAAAGCATACAACTCCTGCCTCAACCAGAAACTTTTATAAGATGTGGCAATCTTTGCTCCATTTTCAAAAATGGCCAAATGCCCATTAATGAGTGTGATGTTTTTCCCCTTTAACACTCTATGTATGGGATGACTAGAGCTGGTAATGTTGGAAAATTCAATAAAAAGTATAGTATAGTATAGTAAAAAGTTCAAGGACCTGGTGACCTGTGAATTAGAAAAGATGGATATTTCTGGGCTTTAAGAAGATTCTTTTGAAACTTTGAAGAAGGATGCAGTCTAATAACAAATAAACTGTCTTTCTACAGTTATAGTTTGGCACTATAGTTCAGCACTGCTGGCATGGCTGTACAGACCAGCTGAAGCACTGGATGCGCTTACAGATAGAAGAGACTACGTTCCACTTGGTCATACTGGTGTGTCACTTGTTATGTAATGGCAAGGACGGGAAAGCCACTTAAATGGAGTGCAGATATAGTGCAGAGAAACTGTGACAAAGTTTAGTTTAGTTAACCATATGATATATGTGTTTTAGTCTATATTGGTCGTGATGCTGTTGCCACATGGAGCCACTGTTTCAGATTGACGTAGAAATGGAGTAAAAACTGTTCACAGTTGGCTCAAAGCGGCACCCTGCTGGTCAGTTTTCAATGTTTCATCACAGAGAAAAGTCGAATCATTACATTATCACATCAAACTCTGACATAAATCTTTACAAATTCACTGTCAGTTGTTGTTAGCAGTCTCCTCCATTCATGACTGCTTAAGACCGCAAAAATCTCAGAAAATGTGGCCAGTAAAGAGCTGAGGAATTAATGTCAGAGTCTTGACATACGCTGGACCTTGGACAGAAAAAACTCTTTTAGTCAGTCCAGGACATCAGTGCCCTCTAGTTGGTGGCAAAGCTGAAAACAAAATCTGCACAAAATTTGTTATTGCTGCTCTGGTTCTCGTGTTTGCCTTAAAGAAAAGCCATGTGGTTTTTCTTTCTCTGTCACATGTATGCACTGAACTGGCCCACATAACCACAGAGTTCAGGCCCTGGACAATAGTCTCTCACTGTACAAGTAGGCCACCTCTTCACGAAAAACAGTGTAGGATTACAGAGGCCTCAGCTCCAGAACTATACTGTTATTGTGGGAAGTTTACAGTGAATGGTGAAGGGGAAATCCTGAGTGTACAGGACAGCCCCTGATGGCTACATATAACAGCACCAAGCAGCTTTGGTCCTACATGCTCATATACCTACTGGTTTAAGGAGCCAAGTTCATCTTTATTTAATTCAATCTAACTGGAATTAGATTTAAAGATCAGATAACTCTGAAATCACTACTTATATCACCATTAAATATTTACAGTACTTGAATCAAACAGTTTGAACCTGCTGACTTTAATCTTGAATGTTGGACTGCTTTTATTTTTCCAGCTGAGAATCTCATGGGAAACCCTTCATGGTGAAAAACACAAGACAAAAAAAAAACAGACTTTAACCGTCCAAACACCAAACTAACATCCCAAAATATTTGCTCTTCAGCAAGTCACTAGAAACGCTGTGCTGCCACGGAAAAGCCTTGTAACAGCAGTTTGGGTGTTTTTCTTACTTGAACTTTGCATCGATCAATAATATGTTGAGAGTGTCAATGTGTCTATCTACCTACCTAACAAAATAATGGCTGGTAGAAATTGTGTTAAAATTGGTACAGACCAAAATACAGCCAGTGAAGGATGATCCCTCCAATGTGGACATTTTTGGAAAATGTACATTTCTGGAATAAATGGCATCTATTGTTTCGGGCAGCCATTAATACTACTGTGGGGTTAATTCTCCAGCTATCTCAGGAACACTGACAGAAAAACAGGAGGAAATCCTGCTGATTATGATGGATTTTAGAAGTTGGCCTTCATTTTCATTTACCACCACAGTGGGGTTTTTGTGTTGCTATTTCCAACCAATTTACTTATGATCAGTTTCAGCACACAGCACTTCAGCTGGGGAAACAACACTGGTTTCCAGTGACGTCACATCATCTGTGGCTGTGAGAACAACAGGCCACAATCTCCAGTCGCTCACTAATCCTCCTCTGAACCTGCGGGGATGGTTTGGGTTAATCTGACTTGACCTACATCGTTATTATATAATACAGCCTACGGGACGGGAAAACAACACAGCTGCTCCATCTGAACTGCTGGGCCTCCTTCCAAACTGAAGTCAAGCCATTAGAAGAGGACGGGACACACAGGAAAAAACACAGCGGCTGGCAGCAACGCCTACTCGCCCACCAACTCCGACCATCACGTCAAACATGAAATCCTTCTAATATGAGTCAATAGGGGGAAGAAAGTGCATACTGGCCAAAACACACATTGTCATGTCCTAAACCTAATGATATTCAAGGTTCATCATCAATAGCCTTTTGTTTTTTTTAACAATAAAAAAAGCATTTTAGCGTTGAATTTGTTGTTAGTCAAAATCGTTGCAGAGGGAAACAGCATTCACTAATTTTCTTTCAGTCCTGAACACAGCAGAGCACATTCATTTGTCAGATATTCACCGCAGAGCCGCTTTTAGACAAAAACATCATTCCAACCCTGATTCAATTACAGAGAAAACACCCAGACAAACACAGAACAACAACAGCACGGCTATGAACACAACCCTCCGACATGTGACAGCGATGTCTTGATCTAAAAAAAAAGAACAAACCACCACTGGGTAAGAAACACATATATGCTTAACATCTAATACACCTCTAATAAATGATATTGTCCTGTCGATCCTGTCAGTTTGCATGTCTGAAGGAGCCTTGCAGGTGCAATGTTATTACATTGCTCCTAAAAACAATAATACTGCATTTTCAACAAGTAAACTTTAAATGTGCCAACACTTCACCAGATATCACTTTGCATTTCTAGATCTGGCTTAGCAGTGGGCCTGAAATGACATGAATTGACATCATGAATCACTGAGTGAAAGAGATGACAGATGACTCACAAGATGTTGCTGCCAGAATCATGATAAAATAAAGCTTCTAATCTGGATAATAATTGAGATATTTCCTTGCCTTGCCACCAGCATGACTAATGCCTATTGAACAAAAAAATCCCCTGGGGGTATTTGCTCTCTAATTTAAGCCACTGTCAGACTCCCACACACTGAACCTAATATTACAGTCAGGGGGCTGTTGCTTGGACTCAAAGTTTTCAAGCTCAAAATCCCTGATTGCTTCTCAGATAATTTCACTTCTGTTTCATGTAATTCTCTGCAAACTCGGATCAACTTACAATGAGCGACACAGAAGACTGAATTTCAATTTCAAGAGTGTTAACAGATGAAGTCGGAGAGCAGTTTCCTTTATGAGGAACCAAGAAAGTAGAAGCAGCGCAAGGTGCTACTTCTCACATCGGAGGTGAAAATGAAAGAGGCATGTCTGGCTGCAAAGGTCAGATTCTCCCCGCACAGCAGCAAGACAACACAATCATCCCAGAAAAACACAATCCTTTTCTGTTATATGCTCTCAAGATTACTTTCAAAACAACAACAACAAAAAAATCCTCTTCTTCTTTTCTCCGGAATAAAGAAGATACAGGGACATATGAAGCTGTGACCGTCTGTCACCCTATGGCTCTGTGCCTCTGCACAATGTCAGGTCAGACTCATCTACAGCTCTGCAGGCATGTAGCAGCTCTGTGTGACTGCTCACTTTCATTGTAACAAGAACACAAGTGCAGGGGATTTTTAGTTACATTCTTGCAGAGAAATAACAATAACAGGGTGGAAATGTGCAGATATTAGGATGCCTCTGTGTGCGTTGAATATTTAAAGGATGTTTGGATGTTTCAGAGACTTGCTGCGCTTGTGGGAACATTTATAATAATGAAGATTCATGGGATCCCATTCATATTTATAAACTATTTGAATAAATAAGATTCCTCCAAGATGAAGTGGAGGCTATTTCTGCAGTGCCATTATTTATTCAAACAAATTTGTTTCCATCAAGTCTCCATATATATTTTTTCTTGGTTCACAAGTTTGGTCTGGTTAAAAATCACGTTAGCTCTCGGGTGTTTGTTTAGCTGTGGATTTAAACCTCTTTACTTAAAACGCTCCCTGTGGAGTTTCATTGTAGGTCAACAAAAGTTATGTTTACATTCAGTGTTAACAGGTGAAAGGAGGCTTCAGGCCCTCCACTAACGGAGACCGGTGCTCTCAGAGTAGGACAGTACGACAGTAGGCTTCGACATTTCACAATTTATATTCATGTCACTGATTTCAGAATTTATATTCTGAAATGTCCATGTGGAATGGTCCATGTAGGCCAGATCAAACGCCCTCTTAAATCACAGACTGCCGAACACAGTGCTGCTATTTGGAACCAGAATATGGACTATGCAATAACCAGACACTAAGCAGAAGCTATGCATGGATCTCCTGCATCAAATTCTGGTTTCATAGACAGAATTTCTCCTTCTCAGAAAGGAGGAGATGGTCAATAAACTATTGTGGTAAGAAGCTTTCTGGATGTAAACACTAAACACAGCTGAACCACATGGACTCAATGAAGAACTGAGCCGATATCTTTAATCTATGTCCCAATAATCATCACACAGCATTGTTTCTTTTATGATGATTTTATCATATCACTGTTGATGCTGGTTATGAATATTGAGATGTCTCGTGTCACACTGTAGGACCTTCCTTCTTCAATGAGTGCTGTCATGTCACTCCTTTTAACCAATGAGAGACTGTTCTCTACCTGGAGGAGGTTACTCAATTTTTTTTTGAAATCTTTGTTTGACTCTGAAGAAGACGCAGTACGTGTCCAAATGTTTGCACCTGATCATTAAAGTGCTAAAGTGAATCGTGTGCTCCAGTATTTCATTTAGGTTCAGTTGTTCTGAAGCGGCCCATTGAACTATTTACATTCTATTTACATGTTACTCACTTAAATGCACTGAGAGTATCCTTGAGAATTCACTTCCTTGCCCACAAAATATTTGCCAAAGCTGATTTTAAATCATGGATTGTTTACGCTTGTGTTTACTTTCTTAGTGCCTCGGTATGATACCGCCACCTGCAGAACGGTGGAATAATGTGGCACCATTGGCAGAACTGTTTATCAAGGTTCCTGTCCATGTGCACAAGGCAAAAAAAAAAGCAGGGACTCATAACAAAGTCCTCCACAGCACACCTGCAGGTCAAAAAGTCCATGTGGCATTTTTAAAGTAAACATGTTGGGATGAAACCCTAACCCAGCAACACAGCAAGACTGACAGCTAAGTTTACTGACCTAACCCAGATGTGTTTGCTCTGTATAGTGCTAAGTGCATACTAAGTGAATCATAACTCGGGAGGCAGTGAAAGTGAGTAATGTTAAACCTGGTGCTTGTATTTTTCAACATGTTTATGATAAATTTCAAGTGTGAGTGAGACTCTGCACTAATCGAACTACATGAACTAACACTGCATTTAAAGCTAGCTCAGCAAAGAGTTAATGATACCAACATCACTGTGTCATGGACAATGATGGCAACACCTTCTTGTTAAACATATACCTTCAATGACCAAGCCTTAAACGAAGAAGTGAGTGAGCCTGGTGCTTTGACTGCAGACACATTCAGACTTCAATCAGAAGCAAATGTGACAAGAGAAAGACATAAAAGAAACAAAAGTGAAGCAGAAAATCAGTGTTTTGCCTTAAAAATTAGACAACATGTGTGTTAGGAAAAAAATGGCTGCAGTTTTTGGAAATATATGTAAAGGTCCCATGTAATAAGTTTTCTGGTGTTTTATTTGAAAGTTTTAAGCACCAAAAACAACTTCAATGTAGTTTTACATCTCCTCTCTCAGGCTTCTCTCTGGTGCTTTAGCAACAACAGGTTGGTGAGCTGACTGTTGGCGGACAGTTTTCTGAGTGATCCAATAAAAATATCGCAGTTCAGGTAAACACTCAGAGAAACCAAATCCTGCAAGGTTGGAAGGTGGGCCCTGGTGGGCGGGGCTTGGGGCATGGCTGAGAGCAGTGACTATTTTGTCATCACAAAGTTATGGAAGTCCTGACGGTTATTTTAAAGGGCACTTATTATGCTTTTCTGAGTTTTCCCTTACTTATTGCGTGTTATATAGATTATGGTGCATGCAAATGGTCTCCAGAGTCACAACGCTCAAAGTTTAAACCAAAGGGAATAACTCCATCAGGGTAAAAACCCAATTTTCTCCTTTGTATGAATGTCTCTTGGTGCCGCCCACCAGAAAGTTGGACCTAGCGTGCAAGCTTGGCACGCCCCCACACAAGGCACAGCACATAACTACTTATAATGAAGAGTTTTGTTTCGTTTTGTAGCCATGCCGAAAAGACAGTGTTCTCAATTGCATGCAGAAATCTGCCTCTTTTCTTTTTTTTTTTTAAACACAGTTCCTTCAACTGCTCCAACATTATAGCGTGAGGCCGCACTTCAAGGAGGACTGCTTCAGAAACCACGCACAGTTAGACGCTTCATTTTCACAATGGTTATTTCTGTAGTTCACACTTGATGTGGCTGAACGGGGGACTCAGCCTCACAGCCTACAGTCTGCATAGTTATTGTGGATCTGTGATGTTTAACCATGTTACCGCGACCTGATCACGTAAGTAAGAAGCAGCAAAACCAAATCCTTTAGTCCAGAAGTGCCCATACATAAAAAAATCAACAAGGTTTCTCATAAAAGTATTCCAAGTTATGAATATTGTCATCCAAAGTCTTTGCAGACTGTCCTTCACAGCACTCTCAATATTTCTGCCTCTTTCTGCCGTCCGGCTTCGGGACAGCGGGTACACTTGTTTTCCTGCGCCAGTCCAGCATGTGAAGTTGGATCGGGTCTGATGTACTGGTTCAGGATCAGACTCTGGCTCAAACCGATAAGGTAGAACCGAAGCCACCACAACCGTTTGTTTACACAAGACATGCGGAACGTGTCTTTGCTGATAAGCTGACCAATCAGATCACACTGGGCCCTGATTGGCTTCAGATGGGTGAGGGGGGCCTTAAAAGAGCCCTGAGCTCTAACAGAGTGTGTCAGACAGAGGGTGAATAGGGTGCAGTATACAATGTACAGAAGAAGAAAAATAATGTCTTTTCAGAACATTAAAGCATGTAAATCTATTTTAGTCGACACCAAGAATGAAATGATGAACACTAAAAATGGCCGTAATAGGTCCTCTTTAAAAATACGGGCTGAATACGAACAATATGGGAACTTTAAAGTGCATAAAAGGACACAGAAGATATTATCCAATTCATCTCTTAATCCTGCCAGTTCCAGTGAAATTCAGTGTGAAAAGGACAAATACGACTTTAAACATGTTGATGTTCTGGGCTTTAGTCTGATGTTACTGTACAGGTTAAATCTGGCTACACGAGGTTGGGTGACTGAACAAATTAATTTCTGATATACAAGGGACATAAAAACAACTGCACTCACCCATGACAGAGACCTGGTACAGCTGCCTGTACTTCTGCCCAGGCTGTGTCCCTGGAACAAAATCCCCTAGTCCAATAGTGCACAGTGAGATGAAAGAGAAGTAGATCCCGTCCAAGAAGGACCAGGACACCTCCACAGCGCTGAACACCGCCGCCGGAGCCACAAAGAAGCACAGCACCACCAGCGTCAGCAGCAACAGGAAGTGGACAACGGTGGCCGGCCGAGGCTCCATGCCTGTACGCTGCAGGAGGCCGACTGGAGCAAGGACCAGAGGGTACATGAGCCTCTGGACGCAGGCGGTGAGCACCAGCATGGTGAAGGGGACTCCTATCAGGGCGTAGACGATGGAGAAAGCCTTCCCAGTGTCAGACAGAGGAGTGGTGTGGCCATAACCTGGAGGAGGAGCAGGGACACAGCAAAGGAAAAGGGGAGACACAATAGAAAAGACAATTGTGTGAATGTTAAAATTGTCTTCGATTTCCTCCCTTTCTGTGTACATTTATAATTATTAAAACTCTGAACTGCTTCAAGCAACCAAAACATTTTTTTTAGGAAATCCTTTATTCCAACTGCCATTTGCATTTTAAACTAAAAGAACTGAGCTACAAATCTTGCTAAACACCGTTTTTTGTTATGTTTTAAAGGAGCTATTTGTAAGTTGTGCTATTGCTACATAGCTAACATTAGTATTAACAGCTGTTTAATTACCAGTCTAGAAGAAATTATGTGAGTTCAGCATCAAACGTCATTCCTTTACTCACCAAGAGCCGTCTCCACTGGGGGAGAGCAACCCTCTTGTTTTGCTTCTATTTCTATCACTTCTTTTCTTTTTTCTTTTTTACTGAAGTTAGCATGCTAACCAGGTAGCCACGGCCCGGTCGGACCATCTCATCATTTTCCATTACAGAGTCACTGAAGCGTTCACTCTGCACTGACAAAGTAGTTCTGCTCAGAGGACGTAGCCCATTATAACCTCTTGTCTTGTAAATGCAACAATGGTTGAAGCTCTTGCTAAGACTGGTAAGTAAATAGCTGTTAATGCTAATGCTGGGTATGTAGCAATAGCAAAACTTACAAATAGCTCCTTTAAGTATGTCATTTGTATTTTTGTACAATTGTACTAGAGTTCATTTTCTTTGTTATTTGCCTCAGTGAGACTTTAGGTGAAACATTTCCACAAAAAGTTTAAACAATTCATAGTTTAATCACAAAAAAAAGAAGAAAAAAAAAAAAAAAACACTCAGCTTGATCATGAGTACATAGACTAATGTGACAGAGTCAGCAGTGCTCCAAGTAAAGCTACTGTACCTGTCAGACAAGATAACAGCTGCAACTAATTGGCTCCTGAAGTTGGGCTGGAGCCAGCTTTTCAGTTAACAAAAAATACAGCAGCTGTGGGCAACAACAGGAATCTAATGCTGGGAGGAAGAAAATAAAACCCAGGCTCACAGCACAAATTCTTCACTGAGTGTCTGTCAAAGCTGCCTACAGGGAGGAATCGTCCACCAGGCAGCAGTGAAACTACTGCAACTGATGCACCTGAAATGAGCCTTTTGACTGGGCCAGATCTCAGCTCAGCCTCCTCCATCACATTATGGAGAAGTGATTTACAGAAACAACGCATCATAAAAAATATAAATGAAAACAATACAGCACATACAAACAAGCACAATCCTCTCAAAACACATAAAACTGCCACAGTGACTCCGTTAGACACGCAATCTTTGAACTGAATGTCAAGCTAACAATGTTCCTGTGAAATAAAAAAACACCACAGGGCAACTTTAATGCACAATGAAAATATTTATACAGTTTTCAAACCTTAGCAAGCATTGATGGAGTATGAGACAATGGGCCCCCGGGGCATGTGTCTTCTTTTGTGGTCGTTTTGTGTCTCTTTGCAGTCACAGGATTGACTTTGCAACAAGAAATTAACTTCAAACAGAGGTTTGGGCCTAGGAGCCCTCTGACCCCTAAGTAATCCATTCATGTTAGACAGTAACTAAGGGTGGAGGGAACCTGAATGCAACAGGAGACGTTCGACATCCAGTGACTCTGCCTTCAACTAATCCAAAGTGACAACATCAATTACCCATTATTATTCTTCATTAAATCCAGTCAGAGTCACAAGCTGCTGTACCACATCAGCAGCCATTTAGTTTCAGTGTGCACTGACGAGACAATAAACCATTTTATTTTTACCATACATTTCAGATTCATTGTCATTCTGAATGTCATAGCCACACCATCAGTCTGGAAACGTCCCTCCCACCTCTCATCAGCTGCCCCAGGTCCAAAGTGTTAACAGTCACACTGACAAACATTACAAAGCACAAAAGTTGTGTGTTTCCTTCCATCCATTATTCTCAAAGTTCTGGACACCATTCCTCCTGGTCATAGTAGTATTTTAGTCCCCAGATGTCACTGCTGAGATCAACACAGGTAAACAGGGAGGGAACATGAGCGATCAGGTTGAAGAAAAAAAAAAAAAAAAAAAAAAAAAAAAACAGTTTTATTGAACAAATGAAAATGTTAAAAAATGACTTCTAATCTGTCCACTGTAAACTTCCATAATCTGATTTTGCATTTCTGGTTTCACCAGCAGATAAAAGGTTTAGATAACAAACTGGTGGTTTATTTACAACCTGCGTAAATACCAGACACTTGTTCTTTCTCTGGCTGACCTGGACTGAGAACCTTCAGGTCAAAACACCATTGACGGGTCGAAACTCTCCTTGACCTGAAACATCAGCTAAACATATTAAAACATTTAAGGAAGTGTCCTGTAAGAAAACACTTGCAGTATTGTAAAAGAAATTCACATAGAGCAAACAAACATCTCCTGAACACAAAGGTCACTTCTGTTCTGCTTCACGCATGAATTTGCATTTCTTCAGTGGCCATGTGAGTGTCTGGCTGGCAGCCTGTGAATGTGACCGTTTTCAGAGCAGTTTGCTCAGATTGCACAGCAGCTTGCAGCTTAAACACCCCGGGAGCTTCACTGTGTGTTGTTACTGTGATGATGCTGAACCCTGTTCGCTGTGATACTGTCCAAGTCCAGTCACAAACTCAAGTCAAAAACTTAAGCAAATTGCAAGTCATGTTAAGAGGGAACTTACAAGTACATGAAAGAAGATTGGGGGGAAAAATTTAAATATTTGCCTGAACTTTTTTAATAGATATGATTACTGCGTCTTAAGAAACTAATTTGCTCCATGCTTTGATTTTTCTAGTAGTGGAGGCATGGACATGGACAATAATTAAAGTGATAAGTTAAGACAAAAGGCAAATCATCATTCTTACACTTGATTTTTCTTTCCACTCTACCAGACAAATTAGCATCCAAAACAAGAGACACTTTATTCATTCAAATTTTTGCCTTAAAAGTAAAAACTACAAATAAAGCATGAATTTCAAACACAACCAAAAGAAAAAAGAAAACTTCAATAAATGTTTTTCAGTTTTTCTGTTTGTCAGAAGTTTAGTGACTTCCTGTGTTGCTTGTTTTTCTAGACAAAGCTACGTTCTAATTGTTTTTTTCTTGAAACTGAGGTTGATTCTGTGGCTGAAATCACTTTAGCTTTCATCAAAGTTGTGAGATGAAATGAGAAATTAAAAAGGAGGAGCCGCTGCGGTTTATGTTTCAAGCATGCTGCACCGGTACGTGCCCCCTGCATCACTCTGTCTGCCTCAACATCCTGTTTCAACAGGAAATACAACAAATTCAGGACGCAGGGAGCAAGTTACTGTGACTGGCTACGTTTGAAGATGATGATTGCAGCCACAGATGCATTTTTTTTGTCATAACATCAACTGAATAACTCGACCAGCTGGTAATTTTTGTAAGGAGAATGTGAATTAGCACTGAACCACCGACTGCTCTGAGGCTGTACTGTTATTTCACTGGGCGGCTCCTACAATTTAATGTGTGTGATTAAATGTGAAGCAGGATGTTGTTGTAGGACGGTGTATATGCACAGCAACTTTCTCAGGACGTTTAAAACATACAAGGGGTTATGTCGCTGATTAGGTATGGATAAGTATTTGGATAAATAAACTTATACTATGTAAGAGAAGTCCGTTGGTCAATTAAGTCATAACATTTACCACAAAACAGACAGAAACACACATTTCTTTGTTGAACCCCCCCCCCTCCAAAAAAAACAACTCTTCATCTTATGACCGTGCCACTGACCCTCAGGCCTTTGGTGCAACAACTGCAGACACAGTGATTGCCTCTGGCCAGGCCGTGCTTCCCAAGTTGTCAAGATATCAAACCTTTTTTTGTGTGTGTTTATGTTTTGTTATTGATTTTTCTTGATGTTCTTATTATCACTATTATTATTATTATTTAGCAATTTTCCTTTTTTCTGTAATTTCTTCTCATTGCCTGCTTGTGGATGGAGCTGGGAGGGCTCCCGATATGTTAGCACACTTGACGCAATATTCGTTGCATACGTTTCATCCCTCCTGTTCGGTCTAATTTTGTGTTGTATTTGGTTTTGTTACCTCCTTATTTATACAATAAATAATTGATCACAAAAAAAGATATTGAACCACTCTGGTTGAAATCTCATCTAATATCAATAATAGGTCACATGCTAGATTTGTTTTTAAAAGCCTGAGATCAGTGCTACTATGCACCTTACTGATGAAATCAACTGCACTGAAACTTAAAGTGGTATTCCAGCCATTTAGTATTGCACTTTAATTAAAGCTCAGGGACTTGAGATAAACAGATTTTTAAATTAATGTTCAAACGGTGACGATTTTTTCAGATTGAGGAAAGCTCCAGTAGAAGAAGAAAAAGAAGAAGATACTGTACAACTGTTTTTACAGGCTGAGTGGTGCTCCTCATGATGAGTAAACCTTAAATAAGCTCAATTAAAACTAATAATGCTGTGTAAATATTACACATTGCACCAGAATATTGTACATTCAACAGTATAACCAATGAGTATTGCACACGTAAACTCACCAATGCAGCATTTAACTGCTGTGACTTAAAATCTTAAATGGAAGATGGAACAATTAGTGTTTCAGTCTAAAGCTTAAACCGTCGGTCAGAAGGTAAGAGCTCATATTCAGAGTGGATGACGTAGAAGCACCATCAGGACTTCAACTGAAGAGGATGGTGTTCTTCCCTCCCAATGACCTTCATGGTGGTCTACATAATATGAATGATGACAGGTTACTGCACCATGCCTGTAATACTTGTCCCTGATTGAGTGATGCTTCGGTGCGACCTTGTGCAGTGTGTCATTTCTTCTCAGGTCTAATGACAAACTAACAGCACCTTCACCCACTTGCGAAAATGCTGTGGGTAAAATGTGCTTTAAGGGTGCAGATGTGCAGGTGAGTGAACAGTTCAGGGACACCCCAACATCACTACTGAGCATCATGTAGACCTGTGATGTTCTCTGTGAACTCCGCTGTCACCCCTTCCTTCCTCTAACATCCAGGTCAGGTTCCTACAGTCTACACAGATCAATCTGCATAAAACATAACTGACACAGACCCTGCAATATTCTGGTAATTCACAGTAAATTCATAAATCTGTAATTCGTCCCCTTTTCTCTACTCTCATCAACAAACCTTGTCTCATAATTTCACAATAAGAGTCCCTGAACCTCCTGGATATTTACTCTGACAAAGAGAATCAATTCATATATATACATATACCTCTCATCCTTTCATATTCATAAAGTCTCAAGAAAATGAACCGGAAATGACCTTTCCCCGGAATCACTTTGCATTGATGAAACGTACTTTCCCCCCTGGCTGTATCGGTTTGTTTCTGACCTGTCTTAAGTTGAAAGTTGCACAGCTGCAACTTGTCTGTAACATCCATGACACGTGGCAAAATAACACCATAAAATTATCACCAATATTTGACTCATGATGTGTTTTTATCGTCAATCAAAGACAAACAATAAAGTCCCTGCATCAGACTGGAGGTGTTTTTGTTTGTTCAGTTTTGTTCATAGTTTGTGGCGTTAAATCCCTGTGAGAGGATAATACTGTGACATTTTACTGTGACGAGACTTGAAGTTACTTCTTAGGTATCATGTGGGTAAGTTTGGTGTTTTACGTCATGCGTAAAAACGACTTTTCTCTCTAAAGACTTTCTTTGTACTTTGGTTTGAACTCACCGACAGTGGTGACCAGAGTGTTGGCGAAGAACATGGAGGATGCCAGGTCCCAGTTGGAAGTGGCGGAGGAGTTTCTGAGGACGGAGACGCCGTACTTGTTCGCCGTCAAAACCTTGACCAGAAACTTTTCGAGGGACGCGGCGTTGACGCAGCTCTGGCCCAGAAACTCCTGCTTCAGGGCTTCCATGTCATGTCGCAGCTTGTCCTCCACCGGCCGCTCGATACTGGAGAAAACCAGCGCTCCGAACAGCAGGTAGATAATATAAAACAGTATGAAGCCTGTAAGCAGCAGCCACGACTTGCCTACAGAATGCATGTCTTGTTTTACTCGTGGATAAACATCGGTGAAGCTGCTGACCGGAGATTCACTCTCTTGCCTCTGTGACTACTTTCTTTTCTTGTCTGTGTGGGAACTTTTTTAGGGGCTGTCCTAATTGAACTTGAACCCCTCCTTGTCACCGCATCCTCCTCCCACAGTAGAAGCAGGAGGGTGTGTTCAGCTGAGTCCTGTTGTGCATCCTGGTCCTGGATCCTGGAAAGGTCTCAAGGTGCGCTTATGAAGTTATCTCAAGACCCTTTTCCTCAAGACCTCATGTATTTTTTTTTACGTTTTGGAAAGGTTGGAGGATGTTTTGAATGCATACATGAAACATAATTCTTCAATAAATAAGATGTTTAACTGTTTTCCTCAAATTATGAGGTTTTTTGTTTGTCCAGGAAGGAGACACTCTGACCTTGCTGTGAGGCCCATTAGCAAAATTAAGTTAGTCAGTTAAATTAATCTTTGTTTATCTTTTTTACCATTCTGTTATGTTTCCATTGATCAGTAAAACATTATATTTTTTTAATTCACCTTCACCTGTCAGGTTCAGTCTAACAGAGTTGCAGATTTTAATTTGCTTTCATGTCTCATTTTGTATAGTATAGTAGGTGTAGTGCTAAATATCAGCAGTTCAAGTCCAGTGAATAACTGTAAACTGGCCAAAACAAACAAACAAAAAGTTTTGGTCACAAAAAACTGAAATATTATGTAAAGTTCATATAAAACAGGTTGAAGAAAGTGATTAACTTTCAGCTTCAGCAGTGGAAGTAAATGAAACCTTAAAAGTCAATGCAAACAACTCTTGTTCATGACTTGCAATCCTTCTATCTATGCAAAGGAAGTGTCAAGACAAACTGTTACTACACTCTGATGCATTAGGACAAGGCTGTACGGTACTGCAGGAAGTAGCTCTATATGTTGCTGTCAGAACGGTGAGATAAAACAAACTCCTTTGACATGTAGTGTATTCTAGTTTTTTAAAGGTACTTTATTCATACTATGCATCTGTCCTCGTACTTCTTTTGCTGTGACATTTTCTTTGCATGGGACCAGTAAAGTTGATGTTATCTTATTTGTGTGTGTGAGGAGTTGTTGAAGTGAAGTGTAGGTATGTGAAAAAACTGTGTTTCAGTGATACTGCTTCTCTGGCGATTGCTCCCTGTAGGTTTTCTACTGCATGTTTTCCGGCCCCATATCACTTCAGTTATTCATGTAATTGTTCAATAGTGTGTGTATATGTTCACCACACTTTCTTCTGTCACTGAGCTTCAATCTGCCCTTAAAGAAGCCTGGTCTGGGTCCATGATGGCCTGAATGCTTATGCCACTGAAAAGTATTTTATTTAGTTATGGGGTGTTCCAGTACAAATATTTTTGTATGGGCCAGGCTTTCAAATCAGCTGTTAGAAGTTGGATTTCTGTTTATTTTGTGGGGTTTTCGACACAAAGATCACTGAAAGCCTTAACCTGTGCAAAAACTGGGTGTAAAAATAACATGCTGTGGTTTTGCATCAGGATTTTGTGTCGGACTGTTTCTTGGATGGGAGAACAGCTGAGACTTTAACCTCTGACCCTAACCCTCAAGACCTGACCCTAATTGGTAATCATTAGAGTGACAGTGATGTTCTCATCTAACTCTTGACAGGAAAGTGAAGAAGCATTCTTCCCAGATTGTTTAACCAACACCTTGAGTCATGCTGAATGAAACTTCACTTCACTTCCAGTTCATATGTTGCTCATGTCTGAATTCCTGAATGGTCTGTATCCCAGCTCTTGTTTTCACAGACACCGGTTGCTATAGGTACAATGCAACACCGGCGCCACACTCTGTTAATTTCTCCTGGAAGTAATCACTGTCTTGTTGGTGGTGTTTATGTAAAAGGCCGACTGACTCATGCGATGTCAGCGGTGAGGTCAGGGCGCTCTGCTGCCCGTAGGCCTGTTTTCTAGCTCGCAGTACAAAGCTCTGTTATCACCGTGCAGCAGGCAGCTGCTCTGACTCAGCATATAAAGTGCTTCAGTCTCTCTCTCTCTCTCTGGACCACAGAGCTGCCTCATGCATCTCAGCAGGGAGAGATGTTGATAGCACTTCACACAGGATAGCCATGTGTATATTGGCTTTTTATTAAAATGCGAACTGGTTGATGTCTTTAACCTCTGATGAGATGGAGTTTCCCGAGCAACGCTGCAACAAGCCACCTAACCTGCAATGAATATTATGTATTTATTTCAATAAATCGCAGGCCTGGGCACTGTGTATGTCATCAGCTTCATCCAGTGATATGTAAAGATATGTAAAAGGTACTGGTGTCAGTATCACTCACGTCAGCTGAACAGAGCCCTCTCACTGAACATACATGCATTATTACACCTAAACACACGTTTCCACATGTTACATAACACGTTGTTTTGATAAACAAGTTGAAGTGAAAGATGCCCAAGTGTGCAGTATTTGATCTGTTTGTTTGCTTCTGTGTATTGATAGTCCTTTGGTAGTGGGGTGTGGGGGGTTCAGGCTTGTGACCAGGAGGCTTCCACCAGCTCAGCAGCTATTCTAAACTTTTCACCGCTCCTCTTCCAAAATTCATTCAGTTTGGTACGTCACATATTTTTTGATGTTGTATATCATTTCACTATGACTGATTTCACACTGCCCACAACTCAGTTGTTCACGAGTCTGACTGCAATGAAACACAAACTACCCTCATACAAAGTCATTACGCTCCTGGAGAGGATTTACATATTATCCAAAAATCAACATGACTGTGTATCACTATGTGTATTTGATGCCAATCTTAATCCAGCTGCAGTTTAAAAACTGTTCGCCATTTTATGCAACACATTGAAATCTAAATCAAGCTGACTGGAGATGCAGCCAATAATCAGGTCGCCATGAACCAACACAGTCTTTGATGCCAAAAGACTGACTACACAACTGACGACACAGTTGTGTAGTCAGATATGAAGCTCTGGCCATTCGCTGTCGTCAGTGACAACAGTCGCCCCAAGTTTCAGGTTGAGTGCAAGGGTGAGACCAAGTTCTTCAACCCAGCGGAGATGTCTTCCATGGTGCTGAAGGAGACTGGTGAAGCCTGCTTCAAAAACTGTCAACAATGCTGTAATTACGGTGCCTGCTTCAATAACTCCCAGTGCCAGGCCACGAAGGATGCCTGCACAACGCTTTGCATGTCATCAACGGACCAGCTGCCATCGCCTTCGGGTTGGACGAGAAGGTCAGTTCACCATTGATCTTAGTGGTGCTTGACTAATGATGGACATCTAGCTCTATATTGAACACTGAGGAAGCAGTCATCACGCAGTATCATTTTATTACATCACTTAACAAGGCGACATCTCCTTCTTCCTCATTTGAACAGATCAGAAAATATTCATCTTTTTCTTTTTCAGGGATTTGTAGTTTGTACAAATGGCAGCGCACACAAATGATTTTTCTGAATTTCATCACAAATGATTGAGTTGCCGAGTGAAATATACAACGTAAAGCCAAACAAACGTTGTGAGGTGATTATATGTGATAGTATGTCTAAATTAAAAAAAAAAGTGTACAGTGCATCACTGACTGGTGAACAATGTTCTCAAAAATATTGTTTTAATTGGTAGCTAAATTCAAGTTTTGCCTGTGAAGTGGACTCAACTGCAAAACAATGTGGCGTTCACATGAGTGTAGTGAAACAGAGGCAGACAGGAAGCCAGACAGAGAGACAAAAACAAAACAAACCATCACATGCCAGAATTTCTGTTTGAGTCCACCTCAGTGGATGCACTGAAGTTTTCTCCTGAATGTGTCTGTGATGATTCTGTAACCTTGTAAACATTGGCACTTTCACTGGTGTTCTTGTTGGCACTAACTGGAAGACGAGCTCATTTCTCAGAGGAACCAAAACTATTTTTAAGGTTCATTCCTATCATTAGCTTTTTTTTCTGTAGCTATTACACAATGAAAGCACATGCATCACCTTGCAAAATGTAAACGTAAAATTTAAACGTCATCACACTGGTAACTTTATCTGCCATATGTGGAAAAATAATGCTTCACATCACCCTCCAGTGTGACGATATACTTTTCAGTTACTTCCATCATTCATAAACTATAAAGGGAAAATGAGTTTTAACATTAGCATGAATCTGACTTTCAGATCTGTAGACATACAGTATGTGGGCAGCCACCCAGCGTCTTTCACTGTTTCTGGAGGCAAACTGAAAGGGGAGGCGAGGGGGACTTTATGTCATTGTCTCTCCCTCTCGAACAAAGCAAAAACACAATTTCTGGGAGGTAGACTGGAGCTTCATATCATGCTCACATCATATGAAGCATCATATGATCTGCCATCATAATAGCACTGATTAATACAGAACTGCTTGAAAAGCGAACGTGAATACCTCCCTCACAATGATTCATTCAATGCTTATGTGGCAAGTATAAATGATTTCTTTTTGTTACGCCCAAACTGTATTGTGAACTGCAGCTCAGTGCTGAATAACTATTATTTCAGTGCACAAATTTCACTATCAGTGTCACCTTAAACAGTCTGACAGTTTGAGTGACTTTTAATAAATGACAGAAATCCTTTGCTCTTTCTGCTCTCCTCTATTTCCACACGACATCCATCCCACAAACCTCACACAGCCGCTCTAGAAGAGCAAATCTCATTGGTTGAGTTAAACAACTCTCTGGTGAAGCCAAAGATGCAATATTGTGCATAAGAAAACTATCTTTCTTTTTTCTTACTATCTTTTTTGCAAAGGAGAAGGAGAAGTGGGGAAAAAATATATCCAGAAAAAATGACCAAAGTTTGCAGGTTACAGGAGCCTAGCTGATTTCACATGTACAATGCAGATAAGCTAGGAAGCTAAGCTATGAATTACATGGTCATAATTGAACAAAGAAATCATGTGAGAAATTTATTTTTTATCATTTCTTGCACATCAATGTTTTTATATGGCTCAACCCACTGAGATTTAATTCAACCAATGAGACAAACCAGCAGCTCTGCCTCAGAGGCAAACACTTCTGGTCAAAAGTTTTAGGCCAACTCCATTTTTCAGCT